CGAACTAGTATAAATCCGATGTCTTTGATCTGCGATGAAATCTTTCTAACTCTAAGCTCTTTGTTTTTATTAATTTCATTGTTTCAATTCGGTTAAAATTTTTATAAATCACCCAATTCACCCCACTCTTGGGTAAGACTACCACTAACATTCAAAATGAAAAATGATGTAGGATAAACCTAAAGAACAAAGGTTGGAAGCATTAAAGCTAACGTTATAATATTTAGAAAATGAACCCTAATGGTTCGGCCAAGCTGAAACTAGAAGAGAGAGTTTTATTTTCTTAAATCCAAGCACAAATTTGGAATTTACATGAAAAACCATGTAGGAATAAGTCAAGAAGGAATTTTTAGGGTTTAAGAAACAAAATTCTAAAAATTCAAGAACAAAGGTGGAAGCTTTAAAAGGGTTTAAGAGTTCTTGAGTTATATTGTTGATTTTTTTATGTGGATTGGTTGATGATCTTGCTGCCCTTTTGGGGTTTATTATGTTAGGGTTTGACATTTGTAAAGGAAAGGAAGAAAAACAAAGAAAGCTCAAGTCTTTGGAGCAAGGTAGCAAGTTCAACCTAACTATTAATATTAACCTTGCATTGTTGATTATTGCATGATTAATTGCTATTACGTGGATGAACTTTGCTAATTGTGATGTGGCTGTCCTTTGTACTTTCTTACTTTGGCCTTTGCATGATTGAGATTGCCAAATCATATGAATGCTAGTTCACCAATGGTAGCTAATGTGGTTATGCATAATAATGATACTTATTGATGATATAGTTAGTTAATTTGCTATTGGGATTTCATTGAAATCTCATCTCTCAAATTCAATCTAACATTTTAGGGCCTGAAACTTCCAAGGGCAAGCTGCAGATTGAAGGTTAAATTGTGGTCCCAAACCATAAAAATTCATGGACTTTTGGTTATGTAAATATTCAGCTTGGGCAATGCTGTAAACCTAATGAGACCATCAACTTTAAGCAACATTTTGATTAAGTTCCTGGACACTTTTAATCACAAAATTTGGCATGATTATAGATCACGTTTTGAGCTTCATTTTGATACCTAACATATTAAAAATGGCCAACTACATGATTTTGAATGATTTTTCAAAGTTAAGGTCCAGAATCTAGAAAAAGAATTTTTACCAAAAGGACAGAAGTGAATTTGACAAAAACTTGACACTTCTTTAAATGGAATTGGTTCATAAAATTATTTTTTCTTGAAAGATCACTCAAAGAGCTTTTTATAGAATTTTGAACCACTCCATTTTGATTTTTCTAGATTAAGTTATGAATTTCCAAATATTGAGCCAGAAAAACTGGATTTTTACCTGATAAACAGTAAAAATCCGAAAATAAGTGTTTTTGTGATAAAATTGAGTCCAAGACCATCCAATGTGATCCAAAATGGTTCTAATTGAACACTAAGTCAAACCAATAGTAAGGTGTAACATTCTTATTGTCTTTATTATATTTAGGGGACACTGGATGCTGATTGTGGTCAATCCCTCTAAGGTAAAAAATTGGTATTTTAATTCTCTTAATGGGAATTTGACCAATCGATCATTTATGTCATCACTGTTTAATGGGTATCTTGAATGTGTTTTACCATATTTAATTTAATTTCCTTTTCTATCTAATTTTTGACAATCATTAACATTTAATTTCATTGTATTCTCAGAGCTTTGTGGCTGTTTTGAACGGATCAAGGCTTAGCATGCTCCCTGGTCAAAGGCAGCCTATTCGATTCCATGTTCCCATGGAAAAAAGTGAAAATATTTATCACCATTAACTATTCAACTAAATACAGTTTATCATTATATTATCATTAATATATTTTTCTTCCCTTTTCTTTGCAATGCCCACTGCAACCAAACAAGAGCTCGGATTATGGATATTGTGTCGTGAAGTTTATGAAAGATATACTTATACACAATGCTAACACAATCCCTACTAAGGTATCATATATTTATTCAAAGTTCAATTTATACTTACGCTAATTATACATTTATACCTAATGTCATCAATTTCTTTGTTTTTTGCATATAGTATTTTGTGGATACATATTGCACGCGATATTCATCCAGTCAGATGAAAGAAATAGTGAAAGAATTGGCAATGACATTATACTGTCAATAGGCACAGAATAGATAGACAAGAAGATTGGTATTTGTCTTCTTTATTTTTTTTAATAGATTTCTCACGGTTCAATATCTTGTGCTTTTGGTTTTGGTACTTGGACAATTTTGTTATGGTTTTTGTAAATATTCAATTTTGGTTTTGGTTTAGTACTTGCAAATTTTGTTTTGCTTTCTCTTATCTAAATTTCCTTTTGTATAGTATATTGTATGACTTTTGGTTTCTTAAAATATAATATCAATTTCTATTTTTAATTTGCTGGTTGGATTGATATATATATATATATATATGTTCTTTACTCTATTACTGTCTTTTGTTTTCAAAGCGTAAGGGGCTGCTAGAAAGCAGCAACCTCATTTTCTAAAAAAAAAAGGTCCACAATAATTGACGGTTATTCGATATAACCGTCAAGTATTCTAGATATATTTTACGGTTATATTTTTAAACCATCAAATATACAGAATACTTGATAGTTATAGCAAATAACTGTCGAGTATATTTCTATGCATACTTGACGGTTATTGATAAGAACCATCAAGTATATTAAATATATACTTGATGGTTTTGATCAATAACTGTCAAGTATCTGGCAGAAATACTTGTCGGTTTTTAGTTAAAACCGTCAAGTATTATATCAAAATAGACAAATATTTGACAGTTATAAATCGTCAAATATAGCAAAAAATAACCATCAAGTATTTATATTTTTGTAGCAGTGCTAGTTCCTCCTCATTAATTGGCATAAACTGCTCATCTTCAATTTCTCCACATTCATCAAAACTCTACAGCAATGAATTAAACGCAATGTTAAAAGTGGGTCCTTAACCTTTTCATTGTTTTTAGCTTCAATTTTCTTATTCTCATCAACAAACCCATAATATGAAGTAAAGAGAGGAGGAAATTGGCATTTTCAGACACTAGCTTGATCAGCTTGAAAGAGCCATAAAAATCCAAGCTTAGAGCTTTCCTGATGCGATGAAAACCAAAGTAATGAACTTTGGCGCAGTGTTCAAACAAGGAATCGCATGAATTGTACTTGGAATGGCGAAGAGAAGAGAAAATCCGATTCCGAGCCTCCCTCTCCTCCGTCATCATTATCCCGGTTCCAGTCATCGCAACCTTGGGGCTCTCCATTCTTGTTCCAGAATGGATGCGTAAGAGAAGAAGGATGGGGTATTTTGAAATTTTTCTTAAAATTTCTTAATTCATATTTAAGACCTGGTTTCTAATAGTAATTTTATGAATTGAAGAACTTAAATTGTAATTTTATTTTTTTGGGCTTTTATTTGAGATTTTCCCTAAATTCTTCTTATGAATATTTCTATTGATGTTATTTATAGATGTTTGAATAAATTTAAACCAATTTTTTTTAATAGATACGAAGCGAACTTTTTCTTATATGTAAAGAACATTGTCATAAAAAACTATAGAATTTTACTATTGAACGTTTGGTTTTAACTGACAAAGAAATGTTATCTGTCTAATTTAAACTAGTAGGCCACAAAAAAAAAATCCTTCATTCACAATGAGATAGGCTTAACACACTCGGTAAGAGTGAAAAAATTATATATGCTCCTTCTCATCCCTGATATAGGGGAGCTACTTGGAGTATTCAATTTGGTACCATATACAACTTTCCATCTTTAATATAAGATAGTTTGTGAACATTAAAAAAATTAGTTAGATGATGAGTTTGTGAATATTAAAAAATTAGTTTAGTTAGTTATTTGTAATGAATAAATATTATTTTTTTCTTAAATATCCCTATCTTTCATATGTATTGCAACTATTTTTTTTTTTTATGAAAACCCCTTAACATATATAATCATCACATGAATTATTTGGGGACAAAATGAATAAATATTGAAGACAAGATAAATTGTGGCCTTATATTTAGGATCAAATTGAATCTTTAACTAGCTCTTATATTAAATATTAAAGGTAGTACAAAATCTCAATCTATATAATTTTTTTAGATGCTCACATATTGTTTATCAACAAAGTTCTCATATGAACAATAGAATTTAAACCCATAATTTTGTGTATTACTTTCTTTTGTCCTTATTATAAGGCATCAACTAATAAGTATTTGTGATTCTTTTTATAAGAAATTTGCTTATTTCAAGGAGTTTAAATACTTTTTTTTATCGTCTATGCCCATATTAAGGGTGGTAGGAGAATAAAAATTAATATGATGTTGAAATTTAGTATAATTAATAAAGTAATATTAAAAATTACTTGAATTTTATGATAAATTTAATATTTTTATCTATTTTTATTGATATCTGTGAATGAGTTAGAAATGACCTGTAATAAAAACCAGAAAAAATATAAGCCACCCCCTTATTAATTGGACAAGCCTTTCTTATCAAGAGTGTCGTATAATTTGATTTAATTTTATTTGAGGACTTGTTTAAAATAACTTATAAATAAGTTTTTAATTATAATTTACAAAATATATAGTAAGTATATTAAGTATATCGGAGAAATTTGAGTTTAATTTGCATGAAACATAGTTATAACTACTTGATGAATATGGAATAGTTAGTTGGAAAAATGGTAAAAAAAACCGTCCAAATAAAAAATTATAAATAAGAACCCATAATAATATTAGTATGGGTTTTGACATTAATAATATGATCTTAACAACAATTTTTACAAATTGATCCTTATATATAATTTTTTTATTTTGACAGTCTTTTTTTATTTTTTCTGGTTAGTTTGAGTTCAATATCTCGGTGAATTGTATTTTTTTAAAAGGAAAAAAAGAACAACAAATTACAAAAAGCAATAGAATTGTGTCGGGGAAGGCACGGAAGAGGGGAGCAGCTTTATCCAGTGCTTTTTCTTTTCTTTTCTTTTCTTTTTCCGTCCTCTGACATCGCTTCCAATCCCCTTTCATAGCAATGATTCTGCAGCAACAACTACAACAACATCCCCTCTCTTCTTCATCCTTCTCCCTTCTTCTCTCTCACACGCACACCCTCTTCCCACCACACAATTGCCCTCTTTCTTCGCGTTTCCCAATTCTTCTTTCCTAATCAGACCCTGCTGCAGAAAGTTGCGCCTCTCTAATCCCCGTAGAGTGGTCCTCACTCTCATCCTCAGCAACTTTCCTCCCCAATTCATTCATTCCCTGCTTTTGTATTTTTTGCTTCTCCTTTTTGGCCCTTTGTATCGGCAAAATGCAAGAAGCTGGATTGGGAATTATGGGTGGGGGTTTGAGAGGAGAATTGTCCCCGTCCGGTGAGCTCCTCCGGCAGCTGAAGGTGGAGATAGCGGCGCATCCTCTATGTGAGCAGCTTGTGGCCGCCCATGTGGGCTGCCTCCGTGTCGCCACTCCGATCGATCAGCTTCCGCTCATCGACGCTCAGTTATCGCAGTCTCGTCAGCTTCTTCGGTCTTATGCCTCGCTTCACAGTCATTCCCTTTCACCTCAAGATCGCCAAGAACTCGATAACTTCCTGGTACTGTGATGTTTTCATAACCTCCATGGATTTGTGGATCTATACGCTTTATCCCTCATACTTCAATTTCTTACTCATTAGAGGTTAACTGTTAACAGAAAACTTTCAAGAATCAAATAACCATCAGATCAGAGAATTATATTTCGCCAACGTCTTGTGAAGTTTGAGGTCTAACCGTTTAATTATTTCTCGTAACAAATTTTGCAGGCACAGTATTTGGTAGTGCTGTGTAGCTTTAAAGAACAGCTTCAGCAGCATGTCAGAATTCATGCGGTGGAGGCTGTTATGGCCTGTCGTGATATTGAAAATACCTTACAAGCTCTCACAGGTACCCCCCCTCCTTTAATGCTTTGGTGCTTGTTTCATTGCTTTGATTTGTGTGAACAATGATTATGTCATAACAATATTAATAGCTGCTTAAAAAATATTTGTCCATATTTAACCGCAATAAATGTAATGAAATTATTGTTTTTTGTTTAGCTAAGTTGTAATGCGTTATTGAATTTAAAGGGGAAAAAAAAACGATGTTTTTGTCATGATAATAAACCCTACATATCTGATTCATGACATCAATACAACTCATAATTGAGTAGTACAAAATATATAATTATATATTGTAAGTACAGAACAATATATATATTTATAACTTTTGTTTTAACAGTAATCATGTTAAACTAATTCATAATATATATATATATATATAGTTTTTATCGTACAGCGACAAAATGAATCGTATGGTATATCCAGTATTTTATAATTTTTTGTGGGTTTCGGGTATGTCTGAAGGGATGGCGGTGTTATCTGGACGGACCTGTACAGAATATATGGATGGTGTGAAGATTAGTGGTCCAAGTTTGGTGGAGAGTGATAACGGCATTCTGAACAACCTCTATTTTTTGGTTCAAGAATGGAGAGCTTTCATACCGTGCATTTTCTGTTACCGAATTGCGTGGAACTTAAGAGTTAATACACATATAACATCTGCAAACTACATTATTTATCAGTTATAGTGATATAATTTATTATTGCTCAGTCTTCGTATAAACATATGATTTATCTAATGAAATGCATGAGTTAAAAACATACAAGTCCCTAGTGAAACGTAGCCTTTGCTTGTCTCGTTTCTGATTAATTAGGTGAAAACTGTTGATATGTCCTAATTTGTTTTGGCATTATTGAAACTGTTCTTTTGAAAAGATGTTGCGAAACATACTAAATAGACCCAATATTTATCTTGTTTATCAATCATGGCAATCGGCAATTCGGCATCAGTATCAGCAATACCCACTATTCCTGATATAGTAATATTGCTGCCTGGGTCAGGCTACCACTCTCTGTTCATTGGTTAATAGAAGTCTCCTTATAGAATTATAGGCAATAAATGCCTTTTACAGATGTAAACTAAAGAGGAGGTCTTTCATATGATTGTGGTCAATTTCAGTATTTCACCCTCCTTTTTCTGAATAGAAAAGGCAAGTACAAACACTTGAAGCAAAAAACATAATAAAAGGCGCTGGTCCGGTGGAGTATGCACGCGCCCCATTTTCTCATATTTTGGTCAATTTTACTGATTATTAAAAAGGATTTATTTCTTTTTATATGTATGCTGACATTTAAACTTTGCATAATTAATTTAGATGAGATAAAAGTGCATTTATTTATTTTATCAATAGATTGTTAATATCGCTTTGTCCAACTTTTTCATTTTTCTTTGAAATGATGCTGTTGTAGAATATAAATTTTTTTAAATTTTCTAATACCAAACATTATAAATAAACTGTAATATATAATATGAACAAAACTTGATTATGCGTTTGCAAAATGAATTAATTGATATAAGTGTGTGTATGTAAGTTCATTTTGTAAACATATAGCACCCTGTTCTCTCTCTCTCTCTATATATATATTATGGTTACCGACTTTCATGTTTCCCTAGTTCAAAATCATCTCAATTTTGTGATATGTTATTTTAAGTGGAAATTTTTGTGTTTCATAAAGCTATGCACTCTTCGGCCAAAAAAAAAAAGAAAAAGCTATGCACATGCCCCGGGACATCATTATTAACTTTTGATACTTGGAAGTTTCTAATTAAGCAAGCTAATACTACCTCCGGTTCTTAATATAAGACCCTGTTTGACTTTTATTTTGGTCCTAAATATAAGATCCCAATCCACTTTATCTCTCATATTTATACATTTTTTTCCAAAGTAGCCCTTCTAATAATGATAGTTCTAATTAATACACTTGATTAGCAAGGATATTTTAGGAAAGACAACACCTATTTAGGACAAATAATTAGCTCAACTTACTTCCTTAATCTTCTCAAATTAGTCAACTGGCTCTTATAATTAGGACCGGAGTTAGTATTTCCCCCTTACCTGAACAAAACTGAACTGAGGTTTAAACCATTCCATAATAAATCAGGAAGTTGATCAGAAATGTTCAGTGTGATGCATATTTGTGACTATTTTCATGTAGCATCAATGTATATGAATCTCAAAAGGTAATTGCTACTATTCGCAACACATCTGATTATTTTTTGACCGTAGATGATATATGGCAACTTAACAAAAAGAGATTTTTTTTTTTTTTTGGTTTTTGGAGGGGGGGTGTACAGGAAAGAGAAAGAACTGAAGGCAAATTCAAAGGCTTTATATTTAACTTTCTCTCGTACATCAAAATATATTAAAATCCTCCTCTTTTAAAGTAAAATGAGCAAGACAAATTACTTGGTTGCCCTGAGAGATCTTTTCCTGAAGTTTATGAGAAAAGTATTAAAGAAAAAAAAAGAAAAGAATTCCCTATACTTCGAGGGTTGAACAAGTTACTCTCTTCTATTTTAGCTTAGTTGCTGAAGATCTCCGAAATTTTAGTTTAGTAATATGACTCTTTTATTCCAATAACTGACTGTAAAATTGATTATATATGTAAGCCAAGTTAGTTAAAAACAGAAAAGAAAAGCAAAGAAAGAGGAATCCAGCTTGTAGTTCCAAATGTTCAAACAAGGGCCTTTTGTCCAGTCCAGATAGAAAAATTGGGAAAAGAAATGAAAACGCAGTCATAGGCTGTTAATTACGTGGGATTACAAGTTGAATATTTATTAGTTTTTACTTGCTTGGCTTACATGAACAAGTAGTATTAAGATTTTGGATTTCCCAAAAAAAAAATTTAAGATTTGTTCACACAAAAATTTTAAAAGGATTTTGTTCAACCATTGAAGTTGGGGAGATCATATTACACAACTCTCTAATTTGAGGAGATCCTTTTTGCAATCTGGCCTAACAGATTAGATTCTGTTTAGGCGATATTTGGCTGTGTAGCGTCAACTATAAATAATTTAAGCCTTCCATGATAAGCATGACATATGCTAGAAACCCCAATCCACTGACAAAAAGGGGACGTCGATTAGTTAGGTTGGCCTTTTATGTCTTCCACTATATATATTATTTGCTGGAGAAAGTAGTTAGGCCTAGGGTTATCTTCGTACCTCTGATTTATTTTGCACTTAAATTAAGACTTTCTCAATAATGTCTTTTTCCACAATAATTTTGGATTAAGTTGAGAAAGGGGATAATCGACAACCTGCATACCTCACCTTTTGTAGATATCAATTATTAACATTGACAAAAAATTGTAGGAGTACATTATGTATTCAACCAAATATATACTCAATTCTGATATGTGGCGGTTAAACTGATCTGGTGATTCCTCCAGTTCTTTTTGTAAACATATTAACTGCTTTATGTAAATTAAAGTTAATTAATACTTTTGAATTTCAAAATCACTCCTAATGAGGTTCATTAATCAGGAAAAGTTGTTTAGTCTGTTAGAAGCTGATTTAGTTAGTTAGGGAATATTAAAGTAAGGTACATTCAAAAAAATTAATATTTTAGACAAAAAGTCTTATATTGAGGATTAAGAAAAAGGGCTTATAATCTGAACAAGTTCCATCTGTGTATTTATTATATGACCAAAGACAAACTTGGGTTGCTGTAGTTGATTATGATTTAGCACAAAATACGATCGAGAATTTGCAAACATGCGGTGAGATGATTTTTCTTTCCCCATTTTTGGTGGTTGTTGATCTCAGGAGTGACTTTGGGAGAAGGAAGTGGGGCAACAATGTCAGACGATGAAGACGAAATGGCGGTGGATTTCTCAATGGATCAGTCTGGCGTTGAAGGGCATGACATGATGGGTTTTGGTCCATTACTTCCTACAGAATCCGAAAGGTCCCTAATGGAAAGAGTTCGTCAGGAACTAAAGATAGAGCTGAAGCAGGTCATCTTAATCTATTCAGAAACCAGTCTTGTTATTTTACTGTTCTAATCACTAGGGCGAATTAACGAGGTTTATTAGCATGTGCAGGGATTTAAGTCGAGAATCGAAGATGTGAGAGAGGAAATCCTAAGGAAAAGAAGAGCTGGGAAATTACCAGGTGACACTACTACAGTGTTGAAGAATTGGTGGCAACAACATGCTAAGTGGCCCTACCCAACTGTAAGTTCATCAACAGCAAAGCATGAATATTGGCTCTGATTAATTATCCAAAATTAATGTCGTCATATTAATATTGCCAGAACAAAACCAGAGTCTGAGTTTTTGGCTCTGAACATTTAATGATAAAATTGGTAACTGTTTGGTATTCACAACCTCTAATATTTTCAGGAAGATGACAAGGCAAAACTTGTGGAGGAGACAGGGTTGCATCTGAAGCAGATTAATAACTGGTTCATCAACCAAAGAAAACGAAACTGGCACAACAACTCGCAGTCTGTCACCTCTTTGAAGTCCAAGCGCAAGAGGTAGACTTCCTTGGATGCACAACTAAGATTGATATATAGACTAATAGTCCCATTAGGATATATATACACTGATATATTGGATGCTGTAAGATCACATCTAAAGAAAGTTGACATTTATAAAGCTTTCTGGATATATTATAGGAGAAAAATTGAGTGGCCTTTTTTTGGGTGTGAAAATTAAGTGGTTTTTTCACTGTGATTGTAAATTTTTTACTGCGTGTCTGACCGGGTGAACAAGAAAATATTGTATATGTTGCTTGAAGTATTCACAAATGTATCTGAAGGTTCTAATTTGTGGAGCACAGGCATGTATTTTAAGTTTCAGCAGTCTTTGGAGCCGAGGAATGAGAGGGATGAGGATGCTTTTTCAGTTTGGTATTATTGGATGAAAGAAAGCAATGATTAAGATGAAGGTGATGATCAATCACCTTTCCGGAGCACTTGACAATGAATGCGCCATTTTATTATAATATGAATAATTCAGAAAGTAGGTAATGTCCTTTTTATAAAATATGAATAATTGGATTATGTAAGAAAATAATTAAAATTAGTCAAATACAATAAATACATGATAAGTGTAACTTAGTCCCTCCATCTCTTTTTATAAATAATAAGTATCATCCCTTTCTTATCCCTAAATATAGGCAATATTTGTGAGTTGTTTTAAATTTTTGTAGCAAATTTCGTATTTTGCCTCTATTAATTACTTATTTTAATACTTAGTATATTTATTATCTCGTTTTCCCAAACTATTATTTCTCTATCACACATTTTCTTTATTATAATAATTTCTTATTGTCTTTCTTATATTCTCTATCCTATATAAGTAAGGGTATTTTGGAGAAAGGACTTTCAATTTTTACACAATTATTGTCTTTAAATAATTTTAACTAATTTTTTTATTTACATTATGGAGTCCAATGTTGCTTATAAAAAGGGACGGATGGAGTATTTTTCAAGAATGCTTTTATTTATAAAGAGTGAATAAGAGAGAGAATGAGCAAATAAAATAATTAATACAATAAGACTAATCAATAATTAGTGAAATAAATAAAAAATGATATTAAAAATTTCACATAAACTATTAGGGTCTGTTTGGCTCAATGAGAGAAAAGGGAGGGAAGGGATTTTAATGGAGGGAAGGGGAGGAGAGGAGAGTAGAAAGATTTTAATATTATCTTGTTTGGATTTATAAAAAAAGAGGGGAGGGGAGGAGTTTTAATATTATCTTGTTTGGTTCATGAGGGAAGGGGAGGGAAAAATATTTTAACATGGACAATTTTGCCCTTATTTTATTTAAGATTATTTTTTCAAATTTTATAGAATGTTTAATAAAATAGAATTGTAAATAACATCTAATATATTGACCAATACTTATACCAAAATTTTAATATACTTTAAAGCGTGAAGTATTATTGAAAAGAAGGTTGAGGTAATGTTCAGCCACAGCTTGTATTGTATCCCATCTTTGAAAGAAATATTTAGTCATGCAAAGGAGAGAAGCGTCCGGAGACAAGAAAAGGATTTAGGGTAGTATAGGGATATTAAAAATAAATATGGGCATAATAGTCACAACATAACAAAATATTGTCATTTTCCTCCAAATCCTCCCAATTTTGAAGGGGAGGTTGGGTGGGGAGGGGAGGGAAAATTTTCCCTCCCCTCCTAAATTTGTGTGTTGCCAAACAAGGAAAAATAATTAAAATCCTTCCTCCTTCCTCCCCTTCCCCCCCTTCCCCTCAAATCCCTCATACCAATTAGCCTCTCTTATAAATAAAAATAAATCACCCTTAAAGAAATTTTCTATATATAGATGTGATTTGCCACCATTTCTCTTACGAATATTACCCCTCTAATGTTGTTTATATGGCATTTAATTATGGCAAGTAAAAAATAACAAGACTGCTTGACTCATTGTGTAATCATGTGTACACACACACACACAATTTTCATTTTAATCTTCGACTATAGGTTTTTAAATTCACAATTTGATCACTCTGCTTAGCCCCAGTATTCCTGATTGTGAGAAGGTCAGATTATCAAAATTATTAGGCTTTCACTTTGCCTCAAGGCTTAGGAACTATTTAGAAACTTAGATTGAACTAGGTAGAAGCAAGAGTCTGATATGTCAGCAATTAATTGATTATTTTGAACCAAGGATAAGCTAATGGCAATCGAAGCTATTGTCTCAAGCATCCAGATTAACTCTCATCAAATCTGTTCTGGCATAAGCTAATATTCACCTTTTATCATGCATACAATTACATCAATGTGTGTGATCGAATTAATGCTATCTGTGTCATTTTTTTGGGGAAGAATTATAGTGTTAGGAAGAAGAGAATGCACCTCCTTCAAAGTGATGTCCTTTTTCGAGCTGTTGAAAAAGGAGGATTCGGTTTAAGACCAATCAAGGTTGCCATTTTTCTTTGGGGGAGAATTAAGTGCTATTAGCAAAGCAATTTTGGAGAATAATCTCTTGAGAAACTCCATCCTTGTTGGCTTCCACATTAAATATCAAGTATATTAACCTATCCACTGAAACAATTATCAAGAACCCTTACAAAACTTCATGACTAAGGAAGGGGCTTTTTGAAAATGTGTGGATCATAGTAGGGAGATTAAAATGGCATGTTGGGAATGGTACGATGATTTTGGTTGATAACCACTTTTGGTGGCACTACTACAAAAAAGACTTTTTATGACAGTTAAAAAGGCCTTTTAACGGTGATTTTAGGGGCAGCGTTTATGCTATCAACGTTATAAACAAAGGATTTCATGGTCATCACAAAATCGCCGTGAAAACAACTTTCCAAACCAGTTGTTAGTAAAAAATTGCCATGAAAAAGTCCTCCACAGTGTTGTTAAAGGAGACTTTCCGCGACAATTATGCTATTAACCATCGTTAAAATGCCTTAAAGTTGCTATTATATATATTTGTGTGTGTGTATATATATATGCTTAATTCATATACAAACTCTCTACATTGAACTGAACTAAAATAGACCAATTTCAGTTAGTAAACCAATTCAATGGTGAACCAATTCAATGTTACAATTTAAATTTCCAATTGAACAATTGAACTAAACTTAATTCAACTAAAACTCAATGGACAATTCAATGCTAAAACTCAAATTTAACCAAAATTTTCACTCCAAATTCAACTAACCTAATCAATAACTTAACTAATTTCTAGTTCAACAAAACCAAATCAGCAAGCACGTAAAAAAACCCTGTTAAAAAGTTAGTGAAGCAATAAAACCAAAATTTTGTCATCTACCAAAATTGACAACTTAACTACAATAACTATTTATCAACCCATAAGCTCAACTAATGATTTTGCCAAATCATCCGTTATTGCCTTGATTTTATCGAGTTGATATTTGTTGGTATTTTCAAATGCCTACAAATTAGAATGAACAAAATCATAATCGAAGAATTAAAAATGTGAAAAAAATAATTGAATAATCAAAAAATAATTGTGTAAATTCTATTTATCTTGAGTAGATTATCAGTGATCCCTATCTTAATGATATCACTAATATAACAGATCACTTAATATCCACATTCAGCACCCCCACATTGACAACGGTACTAACAAAATAAAAAATAGAATGTAATATGTCACACCTTCATTTTAAACCCCATTATACGTCATTTGGAACCATTCGGAATCGTTACACAATGCTCAAAGTAGGTAAAAACCAAGATGTAAAATTTTTGTAAGAATGGCTGAACACCCAAGAGGGGGTGAATTGGGTGTTAATTAAAATTAAAATTCTTTTTGCAATGTAATGAAATTCATAAGAAATCCTGAGTATAAAAACAATGAATCGACATAAGCATAATCACAGTAGTAAAATGGTTTAGCTAGAAATATAAAGAAGTAAGGGAAGAGAAGATGCAAACTATGATTTATCTTGGTTCAGTCCTTACCGACCTACGTCCAGTCCCCAGGCTGCCCTTGAGATTTTCAATCGACTATCTCCCTCAAGTTTAACACGGGTACTTGAGAACCACTACAACTACAAGTTTGATCCAGGCACTTGTGATGCCACTTACAATCCTTAGACTAACCAGTCTATTCAATAGCAACCTCTCACTAAGGTAAATACTCCCCCTTACACACCTTAAGGATACAATCTGATAATGATAATGAAGTTTGAATATTTCTTCTCTCAAAGAAGTGATAGATGAATCTTAAACACATCTGAAAAACTCTCCTCTCTATCTTACGAATACATAAGTTTTAGTCTATGAAGTACAGAGACAGGGAGTTTTCTCTCGGAGCTCTAAATGAGAATATATTGATTTGGCATTTTAGCATTTGATGTTGTAAGCTTAGACTCTTCTCTCTTTTTTTTTTTTGAATGCTCTTCTATTTATAGATGATGTTGGGTACTTGACCGTTGAGCATTTTCTTCCCGTTTGGCTCGAGAAATATGACCATTGAAACTAGCCGTTGGAAGCTTATGACAAAAGTCAATTCTTCACATCATAAATTCGTTGTGGCTCTTTACCTAAAATAATCTTCCTCAAATCAAGTGATAAGTATTTGATAATTTTAGAAATAATAAGTTGGAAAACATGGAATCAATCATCAGATATTCAAAAAATAAGATGAACTTACTTGTTCGATGTCTTGATCGATAATCCTTTGATCGATCATATTATCGATTAATTATATGAAGAAAAGATATAGTAGATATATGCAATGATCGATTAGATTATGGATCATATGATGATCAAACAAATGATCGATAAATGATGAAACATGAATGCAGTGAACTCCAAATGAAATATGTAAGGTTAATCCCTTTCAAATTACGTTTGCCTTCGTGTCTTTTCAATAGAGAGTTATGTGTTAAAGGAAGGCTGAGAAAAGCTTGAAGATGAAAAGAAAATAGCTTTTAAAGATCATCATGAAAAGCTACTGTGAAAATGAACTGGTGCAATGATCGAACAGATGATTGAAAAACGTTTGATCGATCATGTTATCGATAAAGCTAAATATAAGATAAGTATATTTTCAAAGTGTGTTATCGAATACTTTATTGATAAACGGTTGATAGGAAAACTGATCGATAAAAGGTTTAACAAAGCTTTTCATAGTGAAGTCACAGAATATACGATGATCAAGTAAGTGATCGATGAAACCTTAATCGATTAAGTGATTGATGAAATATCATTGAAAACTTATTTTAGAAATACTAGGAAAAACTTTGATTGATCACATTATGTGAAAACAGAAGTTTCAGAAGATTGGATGATCAATTATTTTATCAATAAATCAATTATCGATCAGGTGATCGAAAAAATACTTAAAACAAGTAAGTGTAGTGAGATGGTGATGATCGATCATTTGATCGGTAAACCATTGATTGATCTCAATTGATTGATTAAAGAATCTGTCAGGCAACTTTAAATAGAACCTATTATCGATAAAACAGTTAGCAAGCAAGGACAGTTATCGATTAACAATTGTTTGATAAAATGATCGATAAATGGTGAATAGAACAGAATACAACGTGAGTAGGAAACTTTACCATTTATCTGTCTTCTTATCGATAACTCATTTATCCAT